TTTGAGTTAAAGTCTGAATTGATTTACTTACTTCCAAAATTTAATGGCCTTGCGAGTGAGGATCCATACAATAACTTGAAGACTTTTCACATGATCTGTACTATTCTGAAGCCTACTGGTGTGTCTGAGGATCAGATTAAGATGCGTGCCTTCCTATTTTCTTTGGAAAGTTTTGCGAAGAATTGGCTTCTTCGGTTACCTCCTGGATTCATTACTTCATGAGACCAACTGAAAAAGTTGTTTTTGAAAAAGTATTTCCTAGCATCTCGTACTTCCTCCATTAGGAAGGATATTTGTGGTTGTTGACAAATGTCTGAGGAATCCTTATATGAGTATTATGAACGCTTTAAGGCATTATTATCTAGTTGTCCTCACCATCAAATTTTTGATACACTACTGATTCAATATTTGCATGAAGGGCTCTTGCCTCTTGAGAGAGATTCACTAGATTTTGCTACCGGAGGTGCTCTTCTTGACTTGACTGTTGAAGCTGCTTGGAGACTGATTGAAAAAAAGATGAAAATACCCAACAGTTTAGTACTAGGCAGTAAGCTAGAGTAAATGAAGTTGGATTGCATTCATCTTATTCTGAGTCTTGCCTTGAGAGCAAAATTGATGAATTAGCATTTGCTATGGAGAAAATAGTTGTATTTCATATGAAAAACTCCTAGAATATGACTCCTTCTGTGGGATCTTCTTCCACTTTCACCCCACAAGCTGACTCTACAGCTATAATTGGGCCACTTTGCTCTATTTGCTTTCTAGCTACTCACACCACTAACTCTTGCCCTTATCTAAGTGATGGAGTTGGCTCGTGTAATGCAATATACCACACTAAGCTTATGACTCAAGGTGGCCAGAAATATGATCCTTACTCAAATACATACAATCCTGGATGGCATGACCATCCAAATCTTAGATATGGAAGTGGCTAGCCTCAACCATCATAGTTCAATCAAGGTGTAAACTCTTCTGGTGGTAAAATGTTCCAACAAGTTAGGAAAACTGTGCTAAATCAAGATGAGAGTTCGAAGTTAGAAGGCATGATGAAACTCCTAATGGATAAGTTTGAACAAAAATTTGTAACATAGCCAAGAAATTCAAAATCTTCAAACTCAGATTAGACAGTTATCTAATGCACTTAGCTGCATGCAAAGTCAAGGTTCAAGGAAGTTGCCATCTCAGGTAGTATTTAACCCTAATATTGGTACCCAGCAAAATCTTAACATCAATAGAGTTAATGCTATATCTCTTAGAAGCATAAATTCAATTACCTCTACAAATCCAATCACTACCTATGCTTCAAAAGATGGGGAAGCTCATTAAAGATTCTCCCATTACTTCCACATCGCATAATAAGTCCACTTTATCAAAACCACATGTGACATTGCAAGAAGAACAAGAAAAAGATAGGGAAGGGAAGAAGGTGAGCGAGCAAGTCTTATCTTTTCTTATAGGGGTGATTAGGGCTGAAAGGAAAAAGAATGAAGCTGAGATGTTCAAAGAGGTTTATGATATCTTCAAAAAAGTGGTGATCAATGTTCCATTAGTTGATCTAATTGCACAAGTGCCTAAGTATGCGAAGTTTTTGAAGGAGTTGTGTACCACCAAGAGAATGCTTAAGCATGATGGAAAAGTTGACTTAGGGGCGGTTGTCTCTTCTCTTTATCATATGCCAATGCCAGTAAAGTGCAAGGATTCTAGTAGCTTTCTCACACATTACACCATTAGTAACATTGAGTTCTCAGATGCTTTAGCAGATCTAGGAGCGGCTATCAATGTCATGCCAAAATCAATTTTTGCTCAACTTCAAGGTGTGGATCTTAAGCCTACAAATCTAATTGCTTCTCTTACTAATAGATGCTTTGTAGTTCCAAAACGAGTCTTGGAGGATGTCTTGGTAAAGGTAAAAGATCTCATATTTCCTGCAGACTTCTATGTTCTTGATATGGATGATGCTAGATTTAGGTAAAAGGGACATTCATTTTTTATTTTGGATAGACCATTTCTTAAGACTGCTAGGGCTATGATAGATGTGCATGCAGGTACTCTTACTATGGAATTTGCTGGTAAAATCATTAGATTTGATGTGCTTGACTCTATGAGACATCCACCTGATAGTTGTACTAAGAGTGATGTTAGTTTTATTGACATTATTACTGATGATGCTGTCATAGATTTTAAAGATAGTATGATAAGTAGATCATGTGATATTGTTAGCTCAGATGATTCTATCTTCTTATTCATGTTTTGGAATTGGTAGCTGTGATATGTGTACTGGTATAGATGCTGTTGATATTGATGTTTTCACTGATTTCATTGAGATTATTAGACATTCTAGTTTTGATTCTTCTATGCCTGTCCATAACCTCAGTACCCTCAGTAATTTCTCATCTAGTACTTCTGCTGATTCACATGGACTCTCTCAATTACTTAATGTGATTGATGCTATAAATGCAACTGATTCATCTTTATTACCTGATTTTGAACTGTTAGTTAACATTGATCATGTCCTTGATATAGAGATCTTTGATTTTAATTGTGATATTGCTTCTAACATGAGCGCTATTGATGGCACTTCTTCTGTGAATTGTGGCGTATTAGCTGATTCTTCTGTTATTACTATTCCTACTAATGATTCCCAAGTTGGGAAAGTCTACTCTTCTGCTTGTGAGTCTTCAATCCAGGTTTCTAGCTTGATTAACATTGATCTAAAGCCCCTCATACCCTCAATGGAGCAAGCTCTCTCTTTAGAGTTAAAGCCACTTCCTGATTCGCTGAAATATGACTATGTGGTTAAAGATGAGACACTGCCAGTAATTGTAGCTAGCGACATAACTATTGATGAAGAAATTCGCCTTCTCGAGGTGCTGAAGAAAAGGATGAAAGCTATTGGATGAACTCTTGTAGACATTCCTAGAATTAGCCCTAATGTGTGCGTGCACTAGATTTTGTTAGACGATAGTGTTAAAGCTGTGTGTTAACCATAGAGGCTACTCAACCCATTGATACTTGATGTGGTAAAGAAAGAGGTTCCTAAACTTCTTTTTGCAGGTATAATCTATCCTATTTCTGATAGTCAGTGAGTTAGTTCGATTTAGCTAGTTCCAAAAAAGACTGGTATTACTATTATTCGTAATGATAAAGGTGAGCTTGTTCCAATTAGAGTCCAAAATAGCTGGAGGGTATGTATTAATTATAGGAATTTGAATTTTGTGACCAGAAAATATCATTATCCCCTTCCCTTTATAGATCAAATGCTTGAAAGACTGGCTGGTAGATCCCATTATTGCTTTTTGGATGGTTTTTCTGGATATCTTCAAATTTCTATTACACTTGAGGATCAAAATAAGACCACATTCACATGTCCATTTGAAACTTTTGTATATAGACGCATGCCGTTTGGCTTATGTAATGCACCTGGCACTTTTCAGCGTTGTATGGTTTTCATATTTTCTGATTTTCTTGAACATTGCATGGAAGTATTTATGGATGATTTTACTATTTATGCTGATTCTTTTGATGCATGCTTAGCTAGTTTGGATAAGGTTTTGAAAAGATGCATTGAATATAATCTTATGTTGAATTTTGAGAAATGTCATTTTATGGTCAAGAATGGCATTGTTTTAGGACATGTTGTTCCACATGATGGCATTGAGGTTGACAAAGCCAAAATTGATATTATTTCATCTCTTCCATATCCCTCTTGTGTGAAAGATGTGCATTCTTTTCTTAGACATGTTGGATTTTATAGGCGATTCATTCAGAATTTTAGTAAAATTACATCACCATTATCTCGTTTACTATAGAAAAATGTGGGCTTTGTTTTTGATTATGCTTGCAGGCATGCTTGGGATGAGTTGAAGAAGCAACTCATCACATCTCTGATCATTCAACCACCTAATTGGAGCCTTCCCTTTGAGCTCTTGTGTGATGCTTCTGATTATCCATCGGGTGCAGTTCTTGCTCAGAGAATATAAAAGCAACAACATATCATAGCATATGCATCACAGACACTAGATTCTACCCAGGCTAATTACACAACTACGGAGAAAGAACTTTTTGCAATTTTGTTTAGGCTTGGGAAATTACATTCTTACATCCTCCACATAAAAGTGACAGTCTTTACAGATCATTCGACTATCAAGTACTTGTTCAAGAAGCTAGACTCCAAACCCCTCTTGCTTAGATGGGTGATACTGATACAGGAGTTTAATGTGGAGACTCGTGATAAGAGCAGTGTAGAGAACATGGTAGCTGATCACTTGAGTAGGATTGAGACTCCCATGGTAACATCTTCTTTACCCTTGGATGAGTTTCCTGATAATAGACTTTGTGGAGTTGATATGACTATTCCATGGTATGCTAATATTGCTAATTATCTGGCTGCATCTATTCTACCAACTGATATGAATAGGCATTAATTAAACAAGTTTAAGAGTGTTGCTAGGTTATATATATGGGATGATCCATACTTGTGGCACATTTGCAATGATCAAGTTATTAAGCAATGCATTCCTGATAATGAATTTGAATTTGTATTGATGTTTTGTCACACTCTTACTTGTGGATGGCATTTTAGTGCTAAGCGTACTACTAGAAAGGTTTTGAAAAGTGGGTTATTTTGGTCCACTCTATTCCATGATACCCATGAGTTTTGTAAGAAATGTTCCAGGTACAAATTTGTTGGCAATATCTCTAGGAAGCATGAGATGCCTCAACAACCCTTGTTGTTCTGTGAAGTTTTTGATGCTTAGGGCATTGATTTCATAGGACCTTTTTCTACCTCATTTGATTATGTTTATATTTTTCTTGCTGTGGATTATGTCTCTAAGTGGGTTGAGGCAATCCCTACTCATACTAATGACTCTTCTGTAGTGGTCCCTTTTGTCAGGTCTCACATTTTCTACAGGTTCAGAATTCCATGAGCTCTCATTAGTGATTAAGGTACTCATTTTTACAACCAAAGTATGTAGAACTTACTTAGCAAGTATGGCGTGATGCATAAGGTGGCTATCCCATACCACTCTCAGACAAATGGTCAAGCGGAACTCTCAAACAGAGAAATTAAGCTCATTCTTGAAAAGACAGTGCAACCTAACAGAAAGGATTGGAGCAAAAGGCTAGATGATGCACTTTGGACATATTGTATAGCATATAAAAGCCTGATTGGCATGTCTCTATATTGGATTGTCTTTGGTAAAGCTTGTCATCTATCAGTAGAGGTAGAGCACAAGGCATATTGGGCTATCAAAAGCTGTAGCCTTGATCTTGCTAGTGCTGGTGCTGAAAGAAAGTTACAATTGCAAGAACTTGAAGAGCTTAGGAGAGAAGCATATGGGAATGCTCAGATCTACAAGGAAAGAACTAAGGCTATCCATGACAAGCTTATCTTGAGAAGGGAGTTTCACGTAAGCTAAAAAGTTCTACTTTATGTCTCTAAACTTAAACTTATGCTTGGTAAGCTCCGTTCTGAATGGGAAGGACCTTTCATTGTCACTAATGTTTTTCTTTATGGAGCTGTAGAGATTAAGAGAGAGCCAACTGGAAGATGCTTCACAGTCAATGGTCATCGCTTGAAGCCTTACTACGAGGGATTCTCCATCTACGATGTAGAGGTTATCACACTATGAGATGCCACATAGCCCCGGTTGCATTCCTTCCCTTCACTCCTTTTGCTTTGCATTGTCATATTACTGGGTTGGGCTATGTGATTTGCCCTATGTGTTTTGCATTTAGGACAATGCATTGTTTAAGTGTGGGGAAGGAATTTCATTCTTGTAGTTTTTTTTTTGTGTGTTTTTACTTTTATTTTAGTTTCCTCTCTAAAAAAAACTAAAAAAAAATATTTTGTTTTGTTTTGTTTTGTTTTGAATGTGAAGATTGCAAGTTTGAAGTGATTCAAGTATGATGCATTCTTGATTTGAAAAGTGATTGATTATGAATTGAGTGGATAAACTAAGTGGCAATAGATTTGACTTAGGTGAATTTAAGCTAGTAATCATATGCCCGGTAAGGTTTTGAGCCTGATGAATTTCTTCTTTTCAGGTGTGTACATCCCTATCTCTTTCCTCGATCTAGAACTTGACTTGAATCTTGTTGAGACCATAGTTGTGCATTTGCATTTATAAATATGATAAACGCATTCATTTCAATTTTTCTAGCTAGATAAGCCAAAAGTCCACCCTTTTCATGCACTTATCTTTTGCTTAACCCCTTTTGAGCCTTCATCTTTTTTCCCCCCTTAATCCATAGCAAAAAAAAAAAATCGTACCTTTTTTGAATGTCTTGGGAGTTGAAGAGTATTAAATTACATGTATTTGGGATGGAAGAACACATTTGGAGTTATGGTTTGGGTCAATTTGGAAGAAAAAAAACAAAAGAAAAGAAAAGAAAAATATGTAATAAGATTTTGCTCCTCTAGTTTAAGCTATGCTTAGTAACTAGGGATCTTCATCACCAATGTTGATTTTCGCGTCAAACGGTCAGTAAAAGCTATGAGCATGCTAGTAGTATCTTAGTGCCAATGAGTTATTCATGCTTGAGTAACTGGGCCTTTGTATTACTAATATGAAGGTTCGCATCAAAAGAGCATATACATAATGGCCTGAGAAAGTTAGAGAGAGAGAGAGAGCTTAAAAAAAAGTAGTAGAAAAAAGAAGAAGAATGACCCAATTCAAGTATAATTTAGTTTCTTGCATTCCATTATATTTTTTTCACTAATTCTCTTCATCTCCTAAAATGTTCAACTTCGTTTTCTCAAACATCATATCATTTTTTTCTTTACCTTAGCCCCATCACAACCTAATAAAAGTCCTTTTGATTTATGCTTGTAAATGCTTTATGATTGGTGAAGAATTTAGATTCTTGTCAAGCCTATGGAAAGAGAATTGGATAGGATGGTTTTGAGTGCAAACACAAGCCGATACACTTTTGAATGATGAGTAACATACACATTAACCTTGGTAAGGGATTTTTGACTTAGATTCTCTTTTGTCAAGTAAATTGCCATAATATTTGTTCTCTTGATTCATGAGAAGATTACTTGAATAAGAGAGATGTTGAATGCTTTGCCTTGCTTTTTGCTTGTGATCGGAACATTCACTTTTGTTTGATTTTCTTTTGTCGTTTACTGCTCTTTGGTTTTCATTTGCTTTGCCCAAGAGTACAAATGCTAAGTGCAGGGGAATTGATAGGGCCCAAATTTTATGTATTTTATCCCACATTAATCAAGGATTTAAATGACAATTTTGAGCTTAATTGGATTTTTAGGCATTATTGAATTAATTGGCTGATTTTTGGATTTTTCAAAAAAATTGAGATTTCGAATTGAAAACAAAAATATTTTATGATTTCCTATTTTTGACTTGGAATTAATTCTCCTATTTCTTTGGAAACAAGTCTCATATTTTTAGAAAGATTATTTTTAAAAAATTTTGTAATTTCTTGCCTAATTTTTGTGCATATCTAATGTTTAATTTTTGATATAGATTATATTATATTTGGATATAATCTACATTAATGAATGTATTTAAATTCTTGTAGGTCAAGAAAGAGTATATAGGAAATCCAACGGTACAAGATTGTTTCTTGGAATTTAAACACAATTTAATAGCTAATATCAAGTGGGTCAATTAATTACTAATGTGCTTGAGTTTTAGATTAAAAAAATATCCCTCTCCTCCTATTGAATATGGGAGCCGCCACCTATCTGAAAATGTAACCTTTTCGCCAAAAACAAGCTTGGCCTCGCGGTTCCAGCATACACCTTAAATCACGTCCTTTGATTTCAAAAGCCACTATTCCTCGAGTCAATTGAAGAATTTCCGTCTCTAACCATTTATTGATTCCATTCCACATTTGCCCAACTATTCTCACCATATTCCATCATCTCATTCAATCAATCTCCTCCCCTTTCTCACTACACGCACAACTCCTATCTACACCTCACCATCACCTTCAATCAGTTCATGGTTATGGCATCTAACAATTTTGGAGGAGGACACATTTTGATGACAGTTTAAGCTTATTAGGGAGGAAACTTGGGAGGAGCATGGAAGAGGCTTGAGCCTTGGACTAGCACTTGAAGACCACTTGAAGACCATAAGGGAGTGATATTCCATTTATCTTTTTTTTTTTTTGGTAATACAAAGAGGCCTCAGGCCCAGAAAACCAAAATAATAAAAACCAACCCGGGTCCATATTCCTCATATCATCACGCTCTGCCACCGAACTCATATCTTCTCTGCAACATCCTGACACCTTATCTTGTTCAACCTAACTTTTCACTTCAAGTGGGATATCATCCCAAACTCGACAACCTCCTGTCATGTTTCTCCCCATTTTTGCCAATATATCAGCGCAAACATTCAAACCTCTATCAATATGGCAGATCTGAATTTTCCAGTTCCTGTCTAACAGGTTCAAAATTCTGCTTTGTATCCCAGTAGACAAACCCACTTCCTTCCCTTTCAGTTTCCTCGCCAAAATGGCCGAATCTGTCTCCACGCATATCTGCCTAAAACCTTTATTCCAGGCAATCTCCAATCCTTTAAGGATACCCCAACTCTCCGCGTCAAGAGCGTTACAAATTCCAAGACTTTGAGCAAAACCACAGATCCAATCTCCTTTTGCATTTCTCAACACTCCCCCACAACTCGCCGGCCCAGGATCACCCATGCATGAGCCATCTGAGTTCAGCTTAACCCAACCTTGCTCCGGTGGCACCCAACTCCCAGGACTCCAAGAAGAAGCTTCTGTCAATTTATCAATTACTCCCTTTCCGTTAGCAAATTCAAATGCTAAAGACCAGACTTTTCGAACCAACGAAGAGCTATAAGGGTTCGAAGCTTTGAATATTTTTTCATTCCGTTGCCTCCAAAGGCTCCAATAGGTGGTTCCAAAGATCACACATGAAGGTATACCCTGAACCTTCTGCTTGACTTTAAGATTATTTACTACCCAATTAGTTTGTGTTGCTGAAAAGAATCCTTTTTGGTAATTGCTGTTACAAAGAATCTCTAACCACACTTTCCTTGCCCATGGACAATCCCTAATAGCATGTAAGGAGGTTTCCAATCTACCACAGTTCTCACACGAGCCCTTAGCACGCCATCTACTTAACCAAAGTGCATTAGTATGTAATCTGTCTAGGAGCAAGAGCCAGAGAAAACAACGTACTCTTTCTGGTCCACTCCATTTCCAAATTAGGTTCCAAAAGCTCTCCTTTACCCCAAGCTTGTTTCCCCTTATTCTTCTATAGCCTTCCTTAACTGAGTATTCCCCAGTCCCACCTTTCCATAACAATAGGTCTTTGCTATTTCCTTGGGGAGGATGAACTGCCCTAATTCTCTCTAAAGCTTCCCTGCTCAAAATGCCTCTGATTCTTTCCCAATTCCAGTTACCATTACGGTTTACCACATCTGCCACCGTCCATTCTAGACAATCTTCAGCTATCTCTTGAGAGCAATGATTGATCAAAAGAATATCTTCGTTGATCCATGGTTCGAGCCAAAAAGAAGTGGTTTTTCCATCTACGACCCCTTTCCAAGAATTCTCATTGAGGGTCTCCCAAACTGCATCTATATCTCGCCAAAAGGCAGAGGCACTCTTTGGGATTTGGAGGATTGAAGAGAGCTCCTTTCCAGAATTATATTTATGCAACAACACTTCTCCCCATAAACCTCCCCTTCCATTTCTCAGTTTCCAAGCTAATTTCAGAAAGCAAGCCTTGTTGAAAGATTCCAGGTTTAAGACCCCCAAACCTCCGTATTGCTTTGGTTTTTGAATCTGTTCCCAACTCACCAAATGAATCTTCCTAGTAGTTTCTCCATGCCCCCAGATAAAGTCTCTCTATAATCTTTCTAGTTCTTCAGTAATACCTTTAGGTAGAAGATTTATCATCATGGGGTACTTCGGTATAGCTCCCAACACAGACTTAGTTAGAGTGACTCGTCCAGCAAAACTTAGGCAGTTCGCCTTCCACCCTGATAGTCTCTTTTTAACCTTTTCCACCACATATCTAAATTTTCTCCCTCTACCACCAAAATAATCCAAAGGAATGCCGAGGTATAATCCCAAATCTTCAGTTTCTTTAAATCCAGATAAACCGACCAAAGTTCTCCTAGTTTCTGTAGAAACATTCTTGGAGAAGAAAATAGCGGATTTCTGAAAATTTACTTTCTGACCTGACAAATCACCAAACTTCTTCAACACTACAACAAAATGTGTCATTTACCTCCCTCATTTATGTCTATTTTGCAAAACAGAAGAGACTTCATGTCTGTTTTAAACAAAACAGACGTGAACTCACGTCCGTTGACCTAAAACAGACGTGAACTCACGTCCGTTTACCCAAAACAGACGTGAACTCACGTCCGTTTATAAGAAACAGACGTGAACTCACGTCTGTTTCTAAGTAAACAGACGTGAAGTCATTTTTAAAAAAAATTTGCCCGCAGCTAGTGCAGCTCGCCGCATCAGTAGTTATCTATCAGATTTGCATATGTACCGCGCGCGATCGAAGAACTCCAGCTCGCAGCTATCTCGCACCCAACTTTCAGTTTCGATCGGTCTCTCCCTCTCATTTTCCTCTTGTCCGTGAAGTAGCCGTGAGCTCTTCCCCTGGTTTTAG